ATCTTCTCCATCCTTGAAGAGGAGTGCATGTTCCCTAAGGCTACAGATGTCACCTTCAAGAACAAACTGTACGACCAGCATATTGGTAAAAGTGCCCCCTTCCAGAAACCCAAACCTGCCAAAGGCAAAGCTGAAGCCCATTTCGCCCTGGTGCACTACGCTGGCACTGTTGATTATAATGTCAATGGCTGGCTGGATAAGAACAAAGACCCCCTGAACGACTCAGTGGTTCAGCTCTACCAGAAGTCTGCAGCTAAACTGTTGGCTCACCTCTATGTATCACATGCCTCCACAGAAGGTAAGGATTATATTTTAAAGAACATAATTTGGAGCCATCTTCTGGTGCTTTTTAAAAAAAAAAATGTAAACACACTGGTTGATTTATATATTACATATGTACACATTAGTTAATAATAATAAGTCGAAATTTAATTTTCATGGTACAGCTGAGGGCGGAGGTGGCAAAAAAGGCGGCAAGAAAAAGGGTGGCTCTTTTCAGACTGTGTCTGCTCTGTTCAGGGTAAGCACTGAAAATGACTGCTTCACTACATACAGTAACTACAATGCAATATGTACACCACTACATTCGCAAATGCTCCTAAACAATTAGAATTTTTCCATATTTCAGGAGAATTTAGGCAAGCTGATGACCAACTTAAGGAGCACTCATCCTCATTTTGTGCGCTGTTTGATTCCAAATGAATCAAAGACTCCTGGTAAGCCTAATATGAGAATTTATTTATGCATTCACACACTACTGTTATTATGCAACACAAGACTGAATTTAGCACATCTTCACAGGTCTGATGGAGAACTTCCTGGTCATCCACCAGCTCAGGTGTAACGGTGTGCTGGAGGGTATCAGAATCTGCAGAAAAGGTTTCCCCAGCAGAATCCTCTATGCTGACTTCAAGCAGAGGTATTTAATAAAAATAACCACATTTTTGATAATATTATGATTAATTATTCATCGTCATTTGAATTTTCTCTTATCAGATACAAAGTATTGAATGCCAGTGTCATTCCTGAGGGACAATTCATTGACAACAAGAAGGCCTCAGAGAAACTCTTGGGCTCTATTGATGTTGACCAGACTCAGTACAAATTTGGACACACAAAGGTAATCTGTTTTTCTGTTAAAGGTATCTGCTAACCCCGAAACTGTGAGTGTAACAATTCAAGCAGAGTAAAACTTTGTTTAGGTGTTCTTCAAAGCTGGTCTGCTGGGTACCCTTGAGGAGATGAGAGATGAAAAGCTGGCTATTCTGGTTACCATGACTCAGGCTGTCTGCAGAGGTTTCCTTATGAGGAGAGAGTTTCTCAAGATGATGGAGCGCAGGTATTGTACATATCTATCTTCATACATCAAAGAGCAACTGTACATTTTTTGATTAAAAAGTTATTGTAATTTTCAAGCCAAATATTTACACTGAAACCCAATCCATACTCCAGGGAGGCCATTTACTCCATCCAGTACAACATCCGCTCGTTCATGAATGTCAAAACATGGCCATGGATGAAGCTGTACTTCAAGATTAAGCCTCTGCTGAAGAGTGCAGAGACTGAAAAAGAGATGGCCCAAATGAAAGAGGACTTTGAAAAGACCAAAGAGGACCTAGCAAAGGCTCTGGCTAAAAAGAAAGAACTGGAGGAGAAGATGGTTTCTCTGCTCCAGGAGAAGAATGACCTGGTGTTGCAAGTGCAGTCTGTAAGTTGGATCAGCAAAACACTTGTGCATGTCTAATAAATATCCTACATTAAATTACTGATTTGGCAATTTGCATGGACGTAGGAAAGTGAAAACCTCAGCGATGCAGAGGAAAGGTGTGAGGGGCTCATTAAAGCAAAAATCCAGCTTGAGGCCAAATTCAAAGATACAGCTGAGAGACTGGAGGATGAGGAGGAAATGAATGCTGAGCTGACAGCAAAGAAGAGGAAGCTGGAGGACGAGTGTTCTGAGTTGAAGAAAGATATTGATGACTTGGAGCTCACCCTGGCCAAAGTGGAAAAGGAGAAACATGCCACCGAGAACAAGGTTGGTATATCTTTCATAAGGCCTTCAATTCTGATCTTTGCAGAATACTAATACACTTTAAATTATTTTCACAATAATGCAAATATAGGTTAAAAACCTGGTTGAGGAAATGGCTTCTCAAGATGAGACCATTGCCAAGTTGACCAAAGAGAAGAAAGCCCTCCAAGAGGCCCATCAGCAAACACTTGATGATCTCCAGGCAGAGGAAGACAAAGTCAACACTCTGACCAAGGCCAAGACAAAGCTGGAGCAGCAAGTGGACGACGTAAGTCTGTGTATTTGTTTGAAAGGTCCAATATAGAATAACTAAGTTATATTTCCACTGGTACTCATTACACTATATGTGAATGCCCTAGATTGAAGGTTCCTTGGAGCAAGAGAAGAAGCTCCGTATGGATCTTGAGCGTGCAAAAAGGAAGCTGGAGGGAGATCTGAAACTGGCCCAGGAATCCATAATGGATCTTGAGAATGACAAGCAGCAGTCTGATGAGAAAATAAAAAAGTATGTAATCATAAGAACTTCATTCATGACCCAAAATGGTAGCGTACATCTGTAACATGTTTAATTATTTTTGCTAACAAAGGAGGGACTTTGAGATGAGCCAGCTTCTCAGCAGGATAGAAGATGAACAGGCACTTAGTATTCAACTTCAAAAGAAAATCAAGGAACTGCAGGTAATGTGTAAATATGTGTTTGTGATTATGTCAAAATATATATATAGCATTAAGGCATTTGAAAAGTTATATGATACACTTCAGGTTAGTGAAAAGAAAAAGTGAATTATTCTTTTAAAAATCATTATAACCTAATTGATATAGCCTTCACTTGAGACTTTTAGGTGTCCTGTCATTTAACTGCTAGTTCATAGGCCTTTTTCCTTTGACAAAATAATAAATATAAGCCACAAGCAGAGAAAAGTAGATTTTCTCTGTATAATCATGAGTTACATTGTCTTATTTTTTGATAATACAATTTACAGTTGTAGTAGTTATGGATCCAAAAAAGACAAATTAAACCTACTGTTACTCTAAACTTATTACTCTAAAGGCTCGTATTGAGGAATTGGAGG